TATAGAAGTGCTACTGATTTTTGTATGCTAATTTTGTATATCACGACTCTACTGAATTTGTTGATTAGATCCATGGGTTTTGGGTCACATCTTTGGATTTTCTGTGTAGTTGACACTCAAACAACAATGGGTTTGCATTGCATGGGTCTACCTATATGTGGATTTTTGTTTTGGTACATACAGTCCAGTCCTGTAAATGCAGTTCCTCTTGTTATGATTTTCTCAACATTTTCTTTTCTCTAGCTTACTTTTTTGTAAGAATATAGTCTATAATACACATAACATACAAAATATGCATTCATCAGCTGTTTATGTTGTTGGTAAGGCTCTGGTCAAGAGTAGGCTATCAGCAGTTAAGTTTTTGAGGAGGTTATAGGCAGATTTAAAAAAAAATTAATGTTTTATTTATTTTTGAGAGAGAGAGACAGCACGAGCAGGGGATGGTCAGAGAGAGAGGGAGACAAGGCATCCGAAGCAAGCTTCAGGCTCTGAGATAGCTGTCAGCAAAGAGCCCGACGCGGGGCCCAAACTCATGAACCGTGAGACCATGACCTGAGCTGAAGTCGGACACTCAACGGACTGAGCCACCCAGGTGCCCCGATTATAGGCAGATTTTTGATGGCATAGGTGATGGTGTGCCTAATCTCTGCATTTTTTCAAGGGTCTTTATATAAAATCATGTCACTTGCAAATAGAGACAGTTTTACTTCTTCTTTTCCAATTGTAATACCTGTTATCTCTTTCTTGCCTTACTCCTCCAGCTGGGACGTCTAGTGCTATGTTGAATACAAGTGGGAGAGTGAGAATCTCTGTGTTGTTCCTAATCTTAGAGGAAAAGCTTTCACCCTTTCACCATCGAGTATAATGCTAGCTGTGGGCTTGTCATATATTGCCTTTAATATGTTGGGTATCTTTCTCTCCCTAATTTGTTAAGAGTTTTTATCATGAGTGGATGTTGAATTTTGTCAGATGCTTTTACTCTGTTTCTATTGAGATGATCATGATTCTTTTATTCTATTAATGTGACATATCACATTGATTGTATGTTGAACCATCCTTACATCCTAGGAAAGTAAGTCCCATGTGATTTGGGTGAATGGTCATTTTAATGTGCTGCTGAATGTGGTGTGCTAGTATTTTATTGACAATTTTTGCATCTATATTCATCAGGAATTTGACCTGTAATGGAGTTCTTCTTGAATTTTTACTTAGTATACAAATAATAGCATTAAAATTTTTTTCTTTCCAATGTATATTTTTATAAGTTATTTATTTTCTAACTACAGTGAGTAAGAAAGAGAGTTCCAGAAGAGTATGGAAAAAAAATGATGATGATAATCCTCATTTTGTTCCTAACCTGGAAATAATTCTAATGTTTCACCATTAAGTCTGCTTATGGCTTCTGATTCTTTACCAAATTAAAGATACCTCCTTCTATTCCTGGCTTTAATAAAAATCTTATATGTATTCTGAATTTCATCAGATACCTTTTTATATTCATTTAAATGATCATAACATTTCACTTTTTTGATGTCTTAATATAACCAATTATATTAACAAGTTTTTATCCTGTTAAATCAATAGTTTTTAGAATATATTCTCTTTAGTCATGATATATAATTCTTATGATACAATTTTGGAATTAATTTGCTTTATTTTTTATTTTTATATCTGTGATCATAATAAAGATTTGATTCATCTGTTTATTTTTGTGCTGTATTTGGTTTGGGTATCTGAGTTATTTTAGTTGTATGTTACTGAGAACCTTTCACTCTTCATTTTATGTGCAACTTACCTATTTACTTAAGGTTTTCCAAAAGTCATCCAGTAAAACTGTTTGGCCCCAGTCCTTTTTGTTTTTTTTCCATTTTCTACCTTCTTTTGTAAAAAAATGTTTTTAGCTTTTTAATATTGTATTTGAAAAGTAACTCATCAGTACATTGTCATTATACAAAACTCAAAAAATACAGAACTATGTCCTTCTTCAGTCATTCCTGGAACTTTCCTCCCTTTCCCCAGAGTTAACCACTGTCAATAGTTTGGTGAAAACTCTTCCATGAATTTAAAGGATTAAGTAATTAAAATCCCACTCTGTTATTTACTGATATGCAATTGCACAATGTTATGCATTCCCATATTATTATGTGTATACCATATTATTCCATGCATTCATATACAATACAATGTATTATTATATATACATGTATTTATACAATACATATATTACTATAAATTACAGATACACGAAAATGCAGTACTTAAACAAGTGTACTGTATAGTGAGTTTATGCCTTACGCATTTTTGATGTGGTAAAATATGCATAACCTACAATTGATCATGTTAATCATTTTTAAGTGGATTGTTTGGTGGCATTAAATACATTCACATTGGTGTGCAACTATTATTACTGCTGTCTGTCTCCAGCCTTTCTCATCTTGCAAAACCGGAAGTGTGTGCCCACTAAACAAACAAGAACTCTCCATTATCTCCTACCCCAGCTCCTGGTACCTACCATTCTACATTCTGTCTCTGTGAACCTGACTGCTCATCCAAATGGAATTATATAGTATTTAACCTTTTGTGACTGGTTTATTTCACATAGCATAACATCTTTGTGGTTCATCCATGTTATATAGCATGTGTCAGAATTGCTCCTTTTTAAGGCCAAATACCATTCCATTGTATGTATTTACCACGTGGTATCTTTCCACTCCTCAGTGGGTGGACGCTTGGATTGCTTCCACCTTTTGACTGTTGTAAATGATGCTGTGAACACGGGTGTGCAAATATCTGTCTGAATCCTTGCTTTCAGTTCTTTGGGGTTTGAATCCAGATGTGGAATTGCTGAATCATATGGTAATTCTGCATATAATATTTTGAGGAACTGTTCTTCATTGTGATAGAACCATTTTATATTCCCACCATTGGTTGATAAGCATTCCGATTTCTCCTCACTCTGAGAGTTATTTTCTGTGTTGCTTTGTTTTTTGCTGTTTTTGATAATGGCCATCCTAATAGGTGTGAAGTGGGATCTCACTGTGGTTTTGCTATGCATTTCCCTAAAGAGTAGTGATGTTAGCATGCTTTTATGCACTTATTGACCATTTGTATATTCCCTTTGGAGAAATGTCTGTTCAAATCCTTTGCTCATTCTTACATTGGGTTGATTGGTTGCTGTTATTGTTGAGTTGTACAAATTCTTTATATGTTAAGGATAATAAGGTTATTAACCCTTTATCTGATATGTGATTTGTAAATATTTTCTCCCATTCCATCAGTTTCCCTTTTACTCTGCTGATAGTATCCTCCAATGCACAAAAGTTTAATTATGATATAGTCCAATTTATTTGTTTGTTTTCATTTGTTGCCTGTGCTTTTGGTGTCATATCCAAGAAATCATTGCCCACATATATTGTTTTTTAACTTCCCTTTTTAAGTCATCAGTGTGTATGTTGGCTTTCATTCCACATCAAGTCCTATGGCTTCTTATCATTACTTTTATGATGCATAGAGTATTCCTGAGTATGGGTATATCATTGTTTATTTCACCTCTCCCCTTAACAGTGGACACTTAAATAGTATTCATTGTTTTGTTTTGTTTTTTGCATGTGTATATTTTAGGAACAAACAAGCAGAAAGTCTGGAAAGAATATTTATCTGAGTGTTAAAAGTGAACATCTTTAGATCGCAGGATTAGAAATGGTTTTATCTTCTTGCTTATTTGTATTTAAAATTTTTCAATAATAAACAGATATTCTTATTTAATGAAAACTTATAAACAAGTCAACAAACATAGTAACATCCCTTTGATCCAATCATTTTGTCCCAGAGTTTATCCAAAAAAATTTGTTCTCTGGAAGTTAAACAAAAACAGTATCTGCTCCAGGAAATTCTTATCATTGATAATATACTAATATCATTTAGTAACAGACTTCATGTTCAAATGGGGGACTGCCGGAGTAAACTTTTATATATGAGCCCAAATTATCATGTAGCTGTGAAAGTTAATTTCAGAATGTGTAACAGCATGAAAGAAAACAAAAACATCTCCGAAGACTGAGATTTCCATGAGGTAATTACCTAGGCCAGAGATCGTCAAACTTTTTCCACGAAGGGCTACACAGTAGAGAGATTAGGCCTTGTGAGCCTTGCTTTACTCAACCCTGCCTTTGTAGGGAAAGCAGCCTTAAGTGGGTGAGTGTGGCCAGACCGGGCCCGAGGGCCCTAGTTTGTGGACCTTGCCTATCAGAGCACTTGGATGCTGCCTGGGGAGGGGGGCGGTACAGGTGGGAGGCCCATGCATTCATTTTAAAATTTTCTTTAATGTCTTTTAAAAATACATTTAAGGAGCTCCTCGGTGGCTCAGTTGGTTCAGCATCCGACTTTGGCTCAGGTCATAATCATGTGGTTCATGAGTTTGATCCTCCCATTGGGCTCTGTGCTGACAGCTCAGAGCCTGAAGCTGCTTCAGGTTCTGTGTCTCCCTCTCTCTCTGCCCCTCCCCTGCTTGTGCTCTTTCTCCTTCTCCCTCATAAAAACAAAAACCAAAACCAAAAAAAAAAAAAGTTTTAGGGGCACCTGGGTGGCTCAGTCAGTTAAGTGTCCAACTTCGGATCAGGTCATGATCTCACTGTTTGTGAGTCCAAGCCCTGTCTTGGGCTTTGCGCTGATGGTGCAGAGCCTGCTTGGGATTCTCTCTCTCTCTCTCTCTCTCTATCTCTATCTCTACTCCTCCCCAACTCACTCTTTCTCTCTCTTTCAAAATAAATAAATTTTTAACAAACTTTAAAAATTTTTTGAACGCATTTATATAAAATTATGAGTAGTATTAATATGCTTTATACACAGTAAGTGCTTTTCAGAGATTTCCTGATAATAAGACAAAAGTGTAGTTAAAGAACCATTTGCAAAGACCCCCCAGTTTTGATAGACTTGCTTATTTTGATAGGCCTTCTGCACACAAGTTTTACTATATTTGTTTTGTGTTCTTTCTTTCCCAGGGGAAGAAAATGTAATTGCTGTTCCCTTAGGCAGTCGAAGCGTAAAAATTACAGTGAAAGGACCGGCCCATCTTTGTAAGTACAATTTCATCTTAACATGTTTTTATTTCCCGATGGTGTATTTAGCCAAAAAAAAAAAAAACCCCAAAACCCCAAAAAAACCCAAAAAGCAACTTCCTTTGTGTTCTCGGGTAGGTAGGTAAACATCCCCAGGGTTTTGCCAACCACTCTGAAGTCATCTCTGTCGCTAGGGAATGATCGCTACCGTGAAGTTCCTGTTCTCGTAACCCAGTGCACGGAAATATACCAGTTGGAATTAATCCCCTTGTGGGAGAAGAAATCAAGTTACATTGAGGGTAAACTATTGTTATGTGTAGAGTAGAATAGGGTTCAAGAGTTTTCTAGAAATTTCAGCAGTTTGGGACAAAAATATTTTTTTAAACACAGCACTATATCAGTGATTATAGCTAAAAAGTATAAGCTTTGTGGCCAGCACATCGCAGCATCGGGCCCAGGGGCAGCGAAAGTAAACACGGGCTTCCCGAACACTGAATGAGAAATGACAAGATCGCCACTATGTTGTTTCTTCGGCCAGAGTCAGAGGGCATCTCCTCTGTCTTTGTCTTCTGTTCTCTTAGGACCTAAAAGAACAGGAAATACCAAAGTTTGTCTGCTTCTTTCCCAAGGTCTCCTTGTGGCCAGAGGCAGGGCTTTCTTGGTCTTATTCTCAGGAAAGTGGGTTTCTGCCAAGACTGGCCCCTGGCCTTGAAGAAGCTTACTGCGTTCGGCAATCTCGTTCCTTAAAAGTACGAAACAGTATTTATAACTCTTTTAAAGCCACACAAATCAAGGTCCACTGGATCGAGGTGGTACATCGTTTGCCATTTTTCTGAGCTGCTGTCCTAGATTTTTTATTATAAAATTTTCTCTGTGCCACAAGCATCTTATGTTTTTGGTTGCTTTTAAGTGTGTGTGTGTATGTATTTGTATATTTTCAATTCATTTCAACCAGAAATGTTCTTTGAGAAAAGTTTATGTCAAAATAAGTTTAAGTAAAACTGTTTAAGATCACCAATAATATAAGATATTAACATAATATTAAAAATTAATAATATTATAATTTAACATATAAATATATATTCTACTATATTTAGTATAATATTATAATTTATAATATTTATTATTATAGATTCATAATAAAAATAATAATATAAATATAATAAAATATAAATATATAATATAATAAATGTGTAATGTATATAACATATAATAATATGATAAGTATAAATACAATTAAAAATATTTTATTATTGTGCATATTTATTGTATGTGAATATATAATATACTTTTATTTAATATAATTTTGTAATTTATATTTAATATTTTAATATATATTATAACATAATATTTATAATTATATTATAAAGTTAAAATGCATTTTAATATAAGATATTAAAATCTTGAAAAAAAACAAGAAATTCTGCAGTACATTATGATCTAAATCAAGATCAAGAAGCAAGAAAATATCTTTGGGGCAGTAAGTGTGAATAATTGTTTCCAAGTCTTTTTTTTTTCTTGACCCTTAACTTTATTTTATGAATTATGACCAGAAGAGTGTAACCAATATTTTTTAACTACAATACCAAAATGTTTACAATTATATATATAATGGTTACTTTATTCAAAGCTTTCTTTGTAGGGAAGCATCAAAACATTCTCTAACCTTCTTTTAAAAATGGTTTAAAGCCTACAGTTCTTGATGAGAGTAAATCTTCATCCTTACAAATGTGAACTTGATTTTTGAAAACTGGTAAAAATCATTCAGGTCCAAGTTGTGTGAATCATTTGAGGGATCCCATTATAACATACAATTTTGGATTCAAAACTACAAAGTTCTGAATATTAATAGTAGCATATTATTCATAATAAACCCTAAAGTGAAACCAGCCCAAACGTCCATCACTTGATGGACAGACAGATAGAATTTGGCCTACATAGAATGTTACTTCGTTGTAACAGAGAATGAAGGACTGACCTGCACTACAGCGTGGATGGCCCTTGAAAACATGTGAAAGAAGCCAGTTGCCAAAGGCCACATATTACATGATTCCATTTATGTCTAATGTCCAGAATAAGCAGATCTACGGAGACAGAAAGGAGACTGGTAGCTGCCTGGGGCTGGGGGAAGTCAGGTTGGTGGGGAGATGGGGGTGTATGACTGCTCGTGCATATAAGGTTTCCTCTGGGATGACGAAAATGTTCTAAACTTAGATCGTGGTGATGTTTTCACAACTCTTTGAATACACTGAAATCGTTAAGCTACATTTTAAATGGGCAAATTTTATGGCATGTGAGTTTTATGGCATCTCAAAAGATGTTTAAAAAAATATTCAGCGACTGGGCCCAATTTTCTCAGGATGCTAAAGGCAATTCCCCAACATTCAGCTGCAAAAATAGGTTTGTAAGTTCCAAAACCAGAATATGTCAATGATAAACAGAGTAAGTAAAGATGAATAGTTTGAGGGAAAATATTCATTTGCATGCAAATATGTTCTGGCATACTAAATATAGCTTTATACTCTAAACTGGCACTGTTCCAAGAACCGAGCTCAAAAATGTTCCCATTTCTCCCAAGGTGACAGAGCTGTTGTTTAGAATACTTCTCCTTCTGAGCAGTCTTGCACTTGGCTCTGGAAGGGTTTCTAAAAGTTCTCCTTCCCTGCTGGTGATTAGAACTGGCCTCATTTACAAAGGATTTTGTTAACAGTTCTGAACATCTAAATATAGAAGTGGTTTTATTTTCTTGATTTATACAACTGTTTTCTTAATTTTTTATTTGAAACAAAGATATATTCCTGAAATAACGCTTCCCTTGCTGAAATAAATCATTCTTTTAAGATCTGTATTAACTGGGACCTTCCAAAAGGCTACATCATTAAGAACGGAGAACACCCAGTAGTGTTAATGTCCGTCTCTTTGCTGTGGAATGGAATTTAATTACAGAATGTCTGTCTTACCTACTGCCTAGAGGTGTTTAGATCCTAAATTTCCAGTTCTGTCCAAAGTCTGGCCCCGACATAGCCCCACATTTCCCTAAAACATCAAAAATGGAAGCCGTAAAAGGATTCCTGGGAAAGAGATTTTATTATAGCAAAGCTTCGGCATTAAATGTATTTGAGGAGCAGTAAACTTGAGAGGCTGAGATGTCGCGAACTGAAAACCTCCACTGTTGGGAAAAAGAGTCATTTCTGTTGCTGTGTTGGGGACTTTCCTCGTCCTCTAAGGTCCTGCCTGATGACCATGTGTAGACGTGTACAGTTGACCTTGAACAATGTGGGGATTAATGGCACCAACCCCTGCACAGTGGAGAATCTGCATAAAACTTTGACTCTCCCCAAATTTAACTACCAACAGCCTATGTTGAGCAGAAGCCTTACTGACAACTTAAACAATTAACACATATTTTGTATATTATTTGTATTACATACAGTATTCTTACAGTAAAGTCAGGTAGAGAGAAGAAGATATCAGTAAGAAAGTTGTAAGGAAGAGAAAATACACATACAGCCCTGGGACTGTGTTTCTGGAAAATAAATTCCTGTATCATTGGAGCTGCACGGTTCAAACCCATGTTGTTCAAGGGTCAACTCTAAAAATATAAACACAGATGCCTAGTGACCAAAGATGGATGGTGAGTGCAGTCACATGCACTATAAATACAGCGCCACTCGAAACCTACATTGAATGATTTCTAACTGCCATAACAGTGCTCAATGCTCAGTATCTTCCAAGACTTCCATGGCCTTGGAATTTAAGGAGACCTTTTGAGGATGGTTAGCAGAAGGCTACCTCTTGAAAGAAAGAAGCCTGGACTGGTCCTTCTCCATGCACACCCTTCCACTAGAAGCAGCTAGAAGCTTTCATCATCTTTGTAGATATTTCTCTTATAAACAGCTGGAATGGATCAGAATATTTATTTATTTTTAATTTTTTAAATGTTTATTTCTTTTGAGAGAGGGACAGTGTGAGCAGGGGACGGGTAGAGAGAGAGGGAGACACAGAATTTGAAGCAGGCTCCAGGCTCTGAGCTGTCAGCACAGATCCCGATGCGGGGCTTGAACTCACGAACCACGAGATGGTGACCTGAGCTGAAGTCAGATGCTTAAATGAGTGAGCCACCCAGGCATCCCAGGATCAGAATATTTTAAGGCACCATTATAGGCTTGTGAAGATCTAGGGAATTTGAGTGGGTCTTGACTTCTGATTCTACGTTTATGCGTTCGAGACTGCACATCATCTTTGTCTTCACCCTTCTCTGCAAACCTCCACCATTTTAAGCCTGAAGTGGAGAAGGAAGTCAGCCGTGGACAGCAGAGCTGAAGGCACATACCCTCTGCCTTTAGTGGTGGGTGTGTTTATCGGCTTCCTGGGGTCTCCACCCAGGACAAGCCCTCCTGCTGCTGAGACCATGGAGGGGTCAGGAAAAGCTCTATGAGCTGAAGGGCTGTGTGCACATCTCAGGAGCCACGAATCATACATCATCACAACATAGGGCTGCAATCAAATATAGTGGAATGTTCGAAATTAAGAAACACTTAAAAATGGTTTTATAAGTCAACACATCATCAGAATTGTTGGTTTCTACCTGCCTCCACCTCACCTGTGGATTCACCACAGCGGCTCTGTTCACCCAGATTATCTGAATCACTTGTGCCGTGATCTCCACTTTCATGAAATCCCTCCCCCTGTCTTTAGTCTCCCACTTTTGACTCTCTTACACGGTGGAGGTCGGAGAACCTGCCTTCCGCATCCTACATATGCAGCCAGCGTTTGTGACCTAGGGAGCTGGAAACCTTTTGAAGCAGTTGCCATAAAGAGGGTTTATCATGAGCATGTATGGGTCAGTGGGGGAAAGGAGTGGCTTGGATAATTCACCCGCCCTTGGAAAAGGGCAAGAAAAGTGGGTTTGCTCCCTGAAGTTCTCATACCCTTGCCGCTAGTGGTCTTGGACACTGAACAAGTAAGGGAATAGCTCTGATCCCAAAAAATAAAACATCAGGACCAGACTAACAGAACCCCTGGCCTTCAGTTTGTGAGGGTGGATGTCCTCTGGTCTTCCTTTCCTCCCGGATGCCGATGTCTCTGCTGGGACTCCATAGACCGGTGACACTTAGGAAGCTGTGATCCTAACATGGGCTGACATGGGGCTGAAGCCATCACGACCCCAGCACGGCCGTGGAATCCCTGAACACTATTTGAATTTGATCAACTCATTTCCGGCTGAACGTCGGGCCAGAAGCTCGGTGTCTTGGAAGCCTTCTGTGTGGATGGATTTTGTCCAATTCTGCTGTGTGTTTTGACATTGCCGGAATGCTCACCGTCTCTTCTCCTTTACTGCAGAGGGGTAATCCATGCAGTGTGGGGCCTGCTTAGTACCTCTAGTGTCTCATCTCAGTTTTACTGACAGCTCACATTGTAACACTCAGTTTTATATCTTCATCAGAACTAGGAAATGAATTTAATCTCACACTTTCCAAAACTCCACTGCAGTCACAGTGATCAAGGCCAACGTGGTTGGGGTTTTGTGTGCCTGGGAGTAGCCAGAAGTAGTCTTCGACCGCTAATGACTCCTGTAGATCAAGGAGCTCAGGTCCAGCCTGAGAAAGTTCCCAGGTTGCCTGTCAGGCATAATCAGGGATGTCTCCTAACGCCTGCTGTGCAGTCGTCCAGGGCTCTGGGGGTCCTGCGGATGCTCCAGAGAGCAGAGAGCATTCAAAGGAAACAGCCAAGCACAGCCACATGCAGATCGCAGCTCCCAGAGCCTGATGGTTTTGTTGCGTTTTCTCAGCTTTCCTTGGGGTCAGGTTCTGTTGTCTCCTTTGTTCAAGGTAGTCAAAGAGCCATCAAATATGCATGAACAGAGTGTAGGTTTCAGAACAGAAGAAGATCTGTGATATTGTCTGTTCTGACCCCACATTAGAAATGAGGCAGTGAAAGCCCAAGGCAGAGGCAGGAATAGAGCTGAGGTCAGAAATGCACAGGCCCCAGGCCCTAGCCACGCATTTTATTTAAAAACAAAAACAAAAACAAAAAACAAACCTCAGACCAGAAAGAAATAGCATTTACAAAAAGGAGGAGAGCTGTTTTGGTTAAACTGTTGACATTTTTCTGTAGGGGATTTGAAAACCCTTCTGTTCATATGAAAGCAAATGTGAATGAAGAGATAACATATGGGAGAGAGAGATCTTTGTGGTGATGAAATCGCTCTGTGTCTCCATCCCGGTGATGGGTGATAAAAGGGCATAGGAACGCACACATTGTACCAATGTCAATTTCCTGGTGTTGATATTGCAGTGTAGTTACATAAGATGTAACTGCTCCTTTGGGTAAAACTGGATAAATGGTGCATGGGACCTCTCTAGTATTTTTGCCACTTCCTGTGAACCTATAATTATTTCAATATGAAAAATTTACTTAAAAAAAAACAAGCAAGTTTGAAACTCATGCTGGTTTTGTCCAAATAAAAGTCTGGGCTTGAGATCTTCTCAACGGATGATAAAATGAGTAACATATCTTTACTTTGAATAATAGCGGCATCATGAAAAAGTACGAAGAAAGAGATGTTTTCTCTTTCCCCTTCTTGTGGAAATGGCTCCAAATTGTTGAGGAGACCTAACTGGACCTAATGCCTTTGTGGACGACTAAAAAGCTTACATATGTATTCTACCAAGCTGAGTCCATGTAAACTAAGTGGCTATGTTGATATTGTGTTGCTATCATTGTGGTAGGGTCCCCTCTCTAAGGAGAAGGAAAAAAAAGAAAAACTCAAAGCAACCTGGCTCCGTGCATATGTGACAACATCCCTCATGACCTTGTAACATGAGACCACTTAATCAGACTGCATGTTTGTGTGTTACCGTATTTGGGAGACAAAGAAATAGAAAATGTATTAAAAAACTGTGCCATGTGGCGTTCGGGGCTCAGTTCTTCAGGTATGAACCCAACTGAGCAGTGGCGGCACGAATAAAGTTGCTTCCTGGACAGAAGAGGATTCTCTGTGCGAGAATCCTGCCACATCACATGCTGTTATTTGTAGTGAAATAATTTTGGAAATAGAATGAATGCTTTTAAGATAGTTCTCTCATTTAAATTCTGTTTTTAAATTTTAGTTATTGAATCAAAAACACTTCAAGGAAGCAAAAGGGAACACAGCTTTAACAGCCCTGGAGTATTTGCTGTGGAAAACACCACAGTTGAATTTCAGAGGGGCTCAGAGAGGCAGACGTTTAAGATCGCAGGACCTTTGATGGCCGATTTCATCTTCAAGGTAGGATGAACCTCTTCTCTAATGTCCTGCGTCTGAAGCTCAACACGTCTTGAGTTTTCGAAACCTTGAGTTTGTTTGCCAGGAAGTCATCAGGAATTGTTTCTACACAGAACGTGTATCATAAATATTTCCATCTTGGTGGTGTCTTCCTAAAAATTGTTCATCTCCCTCCAATTTCTGCTCCTCAACCCCACGAGTTAAGAAACAAACCTCACTTTGGTGGGGGAGGGGTTGTTTTCGCACGTATAGGCTCTGGTTGTGTTCAGTTTTGAAGCTCTAGGCAGAGTATTGTGAAAATGTCCTAAACCGGGGATAGGCCACTGTGCACACTCTCTCCTTGCAGAGAAGATGGAGGCTCATCCCTGTTCTTCCTTGTTTGTTTCCTCAGTTGTATCTCATCACATGCGCATTGGGCAGTGTCATAGGGCCCGTCTAAGAATTCTTCTTGCCCCTAACCATGAGCCTCTGCTCCCTCTCCGGGGGAATCAGGGTGCATCAGTCAGAGGATATGAAATAGAGTGGCCAGTATGTTGTATATTTCCAGGGTTACACAGTGTGAACATTCTTCTGATGAAATTGAAAATACCTAAGACATGAAGAAAATAAAGGGCATTTCAGTGCCTGATTTTGTCCTAACCCTTTTCAGAAACTCATTCCAAATGGAAATGGAGGAAAGAAGGAATGGCCAGGGATGGCTTCACCCGGGCACTCAATGCCTTCCAAAGCCCTGTCCGTGTCCCGCGTATTAATTTGCGAACACCGTTCCTGGTCGCACACCGATGTCCTGTGCTCCAGATTCAGCCCGCGGTGTGCCCAGCCGAGCGCTGAGCTGCACAGTGTTGTTGCTTTGAGACTGGCCCGTGAATGGTGAACATTGAAAAATCAAGGATTTTAACATAAAAATATCAGCTATTTCCCCCCCTGCGTCTCTTTAAAAATGGGAAGCTGCGACTGCTAGCTCACACTTGGTCCTGGCAGTAACTGGCTGCAGCAGGGTACCGGGGGCTTTCCCCTCAGGGCACACTCCCTCCGTGCCGTGGGCCCACCGCTCCCCGTTGTGTTCCTGACATTGAAGCCATGAGCGTCAGCTCACACACGTGTAGGTTGCCTCTCGCAGTCATTCCTTGCCACTCATAGACGTGTAAGTGACTTCTGTGTCAAGCCCTTAAAGCAGCAAGCCCGTGTTATTTTTGGGCAATAGCATTTTTAAAAGGCTTTTGGGAAGTATAATTGGCATCTTCCTTTCCTTCTGTTCTTTCTGTTGGGCGCATTGTTACGCGTAAGTTCTGAGCTTCTTGTGCTCAGAGGGTTTTCCCATTTGATTCTCAAGTAGTAAAACACACACTTGCATGCACACACACACGCACATATGCACTCACATATGCACACACTCATGCACACACACAATGCATTCACACATGTACTCACACACAAATGCACTCACACGTGCACACATGCACTCACACCCATGCACACGCACACATACACACATGCATACATGCACACATGCCCATGCACGCACACACACACACATGCACACATACAGACACACAGGTACCTTTTCTTTCAGACAACCTGTGTTCTTCCCAGGCCATCTTGGAGATCTCTGTGTAGGAGATCCTTGTAAAATGATGGAATGGAAGGAACAGCCACAAAGGTTACTGCTTCACGATATTGTTTGGTTGCAACATCAGCATGGAAAATATGTTGTTTATTGACACCATGTGTAAAAAATGACACCATATGTCACGTGCATATAAACCATATATTTCTACAGGTTGGTGTGTGCACATGGTTTAAGATTTCATTGGATATGGGGTACCTGGGGGCTCAGTTGGTTAAGCGTCGAACTCTTGAGTTTGGCTCAGGTCCTGATCTCCCAGTTCATGAGGTCAAGTATTGTCAGGCTGTGCACTGACGGTACACAGCCTGCTTGGGATTCTCTCTCTCTCTTTCTCTCTCTCTCTCTCTCTGCCTTCCCTCCTCCCTCTCAAAATCAATAAGTAAACATTTTTAGAAAAGATTTGAGAGGATACACCCTAAACTGAAAACATAAAAAAAAGATGGTTATTTTAGAAGGGATAGACACTTTCAGGGAGTGATCTCAGCTTTACTTACAATATTCTGATACTTAAAACAATTCTTAAAGAGAAGAACATGTATCACTTGCATAAGTAAAAATTCTTTTACACTTTCCGGCCAAATTCTGTGTTCACCCCTTAAAAGAATACATTTCAGTGGCACGTTGTCCCCGTCTGAATTAGTACTATCTTCTGTTTTCTTCCCTGGGTTCTGGTTTTCTCAGATTTAATAAACAATTCTGGTCTTTAACTTTAACTCCTGGAAAGTTTTTGATCTCTTGTCACTGAAAGGTTTTAAAATATATATACATGTATAAATATATATATATATACATGTATAAATAAATAAATATATATATATACACATATATACATACACATACGTATATCCATCAAGGAAGGTGTTGCACACAACTGTCTGACTCACGCATAACTGGAGCCTGATTTTCACGCCTATGGCCATTTTCTTTCATAAATGTGGTGTGTGCTTGGTGGGAGAGAAGCTGGCAAAATCAGACACCGTGATGAAGCAATGTGACTCTGGTGGGGTTTTTTTCCCTGACTTATAAGCTTGTCCAAATAATGTGGGTTTCTAGGAAATATACTTTTCCATCGGTTACTTTTCCTTTTTCCCCCCATTTTTTCTTTTTCTTTTTTTCTCTTTTTCCTGGGATCACTATGGTTTTACCCAGCCTGGGTTGTTGCTAAGGTGATGACCTTTGGTTCCGCTCACAACTTCACGGCTCATCATAGCGTCAGGTGTGGCTGCAGTTAGGGAAGTTGAAAGTGTGCATCAGGTCGGTCGTCGATGGTGGGCGGCCGTGTACGTTGCTGTATCTCTTCCCATTCCCATCACCCGAGGGTGGCGGGTCTAGAAGTGGAACAGCCAACTCCAGCCTGAGACTATAGCTTGGAGACCGGCTCAGTACTCATGTGGCTCGGCCATGGGCGTGCCCCGGGGGTACTGAGGCACAGACTAGACCTTACTTCACGAGCCTGCAATAAACGGACTATTGAAAAACATTATATTCTGGCATCGTGAGCAACCTCCGAAGACCTCCGCAGGATGTCAGATGCCTTTGCGGCTATTGTCCCCATTGTAAAGCCTAGCAATTCACCGCACCAGTGACACCAAAAAAATGTTTTTCTATTTTTTCAGAAGTTCTGTTTTCATGACTGGACCATTCTTGAAAATTACACTTCTTTTCTTCCCAGTAGATTTATGTATTCTTGGTTTCTTGAATGTCCTGTTTCTCATGGATGACCTTTGTCACAGCACTACTGGGTCATGGTATTTTGTGTTAGCGCCCCTGCGGTTTGAATGTGTTGATGCTGCCACCAGGTAGCAGTAGAGAGTCCTGATCAAGTACTTAATGTCTGCCATGTTGATTGGAGGGTACCATAGGCACTATCTGTTCAGGGAGAATTTTCTGAACAGTTACATCTGCGAGTAGGTGTTTGTAAATATCAATTTTAAGCGTACGCCCATGAGAACAAAATGAAATGGCTTTGGTAAAGACCTGTCTTTCCATGGGTCACCACTTTTAACTCTGCTGGCGGTTTCCCTCTCTTTTGCAACATATCCATCTTAAGGGAGGAAAAAAAAAAGTTCTCCTTGGTCTGAAACCTTCCTTTTTATTCCAGATGCCTGTCACATTTCTTCACAGTGAGATATTTTGTGTGTCTGCAAGGAAAGATTTTCTGGTTGCTCTTCACACTCATTTTCCGGTGAACACCTTCTGCCGTCAGTTTCCCTCAACCTCAGCTCTATATACGTGTTGTGTTCTCTCCTTACACTGTCTCTCCTTTCTTTCTGGGCGTTACGATAGCACCTCTGCCTGATCCAAGGATATGACGATTTGAAACTGTTTTCCTTTATCTCAAAGAGCAGGTCCCTGCAATGTGGCGTAGACAGTGACTGAATTTGTACATACAGGTATTTGAGAACACAGCAAGACACGGTTGTTAGGGTCGGTGGCTGTACTAGGTTCCTGAGGCTACTGTAAAAGCACCTTTGTAAACTAGGTGACTTGAAGGACAGACAGTCGTTGACTCCCAGTTCTGGAAGCTACAAGTCCAAGATCAACGTGTGGGCAGGATTGGTTCCTTCTGAGGACTCAGGGAGCATCAGTTTCATGCGTCTCCCCAGCTGCTTGTCTCCTTGGGTGTTCTCCCTTGGCTTTCACCTATCTCCGTCTGGGCATGTCCGCCTCTGCAGGCACATTTCCCTTTTCCCTAAGGACACCAGCCATATTGGATTGGACCCACCCTAATGACCTCACCTTCACTTGACTAGATCTGCAAAGACCCTACTTATTTCTAAATAAGATGGCATTCTGAAGTACCATGGCTTAAAACTTAAACACATCTTTTTTTGGGAACCCATTCAACCCATACTAGTGTCCGACAGAACCTATTTCATCATGTCTGTCGATCAGAATTCCCTATCAACATGAAGACTTACCATTAACCACAGAGGCAGAGACTTTTGAAATCTCACCCGGTATCGGCTGTCATGTGGTCTGCAGAGGGAAAATTCTTGGTGAAGGCAGGTCCAATAGTGTTCTAGTAGTTACCAGAATTCACAGCTAAATTATATGCATAAACTGTATATACACATTTATTTTAAAAAAGAAGAAAGCCGAGTTTTGTATAAATAGTCTATAAATTTTGGAACTTGATTTCAAGGGGCCAAGTAAGGTAGTTGAATCTGAATTTATTTTCTTACCATTGTTAGAAAATCATGTTCTTAATGAAATGCAAGTAATATACTTTTACACATGTCAGTATGCACGTCTGTGTTGCTATTCTGTGTACTTGACCATCTGTCTCGGCAGCAGAGCAATCTGCCCCGGGGGTTTGAAAGTGTTGGTTGGCGACTGGGGTGTTGTTAGCAGGAATTCAAAGAGTGAGCATCGT